GCATATCTGTTCCACTTGTCTGCTTTGGCAAGCTTCTTCCTCCTCACTTCATTTTTACAAGCAGTGGGGGCCTTTAACCAAACTCATTCCCTTGAAATAGGCTAATTGTGTTCAGTTGACTTCCTTGGAAGCCCTTACAAGTTAATCACCCAGGAAAGCCTCTTAGTGACAGCTATGTCTTAATTGCATACCAGACCGTGCCCATCAATTTGGATGGCAGCAAATCCACACATTCCATCTGCATGGGAATGAGACATTCTGTCGAAAATGTTCTGTTCTCACTGAGAGAAATCTTCATCTGAGGAAGCACTCAGCAGAGAGAAGCATTTGAAAGCTGCACCACAAGAGTCAGATTGCGTAATTCAGTAATTTTGATTAAAGGTACCTCCCCAAATTCAACTTCTCAGATCCCACGGTGTTGGTGTTAGGACCCTCCTGCAGGTCTTTTTGTGTTAAGGCTCTTCAGCAGATGCAATCACCAGGGGCCCTTAAGTCTTCACCAAACATTAAAGGCAAAACAAACGGACCAGTGTGACAATAAAAGGGGAATGTGGTGGGGTGGGTCGGATTTGTTTTTGTGTGATGTGACCGTGCCCACTCATCTTCGCTCCAGTCTCAGCTCGTTCCATGCTGCGATGTAGCAGTTTATCCAGGGAAGCGGTGGTGAAAACGCTAACCTTTTCCACACAGCAATAACTTCCCACCATGACATCGAACCAACATTGCTTCAGTGTCCCTCAGCGCTTGCTGTGAAAATGTCAGACGAGTTCTTTTCATCTGAGGGAAATCCTATCTGATTTACTCTCCCCCCTCTTCCTCAGCTGAGGCGCCTGTTTGTACAGGGCCATGTTTCATTTGAATATCAAAGCCTGTGAGGAGGTGGCCAGACACTTTAAATGCCATTTTTTGGGCTTCTCTCAAGGAATGTGACTGCTTAAATGTCCTCGACGAGGGGACCTGATCACTGAGACAATGCTTCCTTTGTGGCCGCAGGGTAACGGTAATCTCTATCTGTCCACTCTCTGCTGCGTAGTCGAGACAAAACACAGAAGGCCATTTGCATCTGACTGCTCCACAGTTTGGATGAGATTTGAGAAATTGTTCACATTTTTGGCCATGAAAGCAAACAACCATGATGGTAAACATGTTCCTGACGTGTCCTACTTGTATGCTGCATTCACAATTAAAGATTGCAGAAACCAAATGTTAAAGAGAAAAGTCAAACGGCCCCGATTTTATGCACCAAATCCAAACTAACAAGTCTGTCAATCAATGAATCATTCATTTAAGAAAACACAAAACATTTTGCTGTGTTAGGGTAATATATAAAACAATTCAACTCATTTCCCACGGTTTTCCTCAACAAAACAAAAAACACAAAATGTCACAACATTTCTTCTGGCTGCCCCTAGTCTCACTGAACTAAAAATGTTCTCTGTTTCATCACAGTTTTTTAAGTTATTTGATCTGGCCTAAGTTGATCAAATTTTTTTGTCATTTTAAATACGCTGTACATTTTTATTATTGTGTTCAATTTGTATATATATGTAGATTTACATTAAGGGGAGCCTTAAGATAAGTTATGCAATTTTTGGTTAAAGTAGTAAAATGCTAGATTAGTTTGGGGTAAGATCCACCCCCGGTCGCAGTGCCCCTTTATGGTTGATCGTTTGTTAAATAGATGTTATTTAGACACTGGATAGCCCCTTTAGCCAACTAGCATCTTCACTATCAGAAAGTCTGAGGTAAAATTCTGAAGTTATAAGCTCACATATGCTCACATTACTAGCTAGCTAGCTGGCATGCGCATATTTTATCTCAGATGTTCTGCTAATGAAGTTCCAGCAAACTCACTATTTAAAAGAAATAAATTATAGGAAAGCTAATAACATAAAGCAAGGCAAGTTTATTTCTACAACACAGGTCTATAATCCACTTGCTTTTAACCAGCTATAATTCAAATATTAAAGTGATTTCACACCATATAGGTGGTGGTGGGGGGGCTGTGAAAAATGCCTTTCTCCTAAAATTTACATTTGATTAAATTTGAAATTAACTTCTCAACTGTAGGTATTTAGTTTACTTTATATTATGTTACCCTAAGCATGGCCATCTCCAAGATACAAAAAAAATTAACTATTATTTAATGTGTCAGCAAATAGATATTGAGCTTAGGGGGGGGTGTTTTACCCCACTCTGCCCTATTCAATCATTAAGACCAAATTAGAGTGCAAAACATCTATGCTTCAATTACTTTTAAACTCTGTTGTTCAGTGGCATTGGCTGATTGACACACATACATGTCTCCATAGAGGTCCCTGTGAAGACTTCCTCAGACCTTTCCCTGTCTGACTCAGGTTCATCTGAGCGTAAAAAATGCATCATTTGGACCGTCTGTCCTGAGCATCAAATATTATTGTATTCATTAAATTCATGATGAATAGTCCAACCCTGACATATGCAAATACGTCTGTGGTGTAGTATGCAACATGCTTGCCCTTCATTGTGTTTCTTGTTATGCATCAATAAATAATATGAATGAAGCAGTCAAACCAGATCATTTAAATGATCATCTATGACTTCACAGTCACACAATAACATACAATAGTGCACCTCTAATTGAATCTGTGCTGGTTCCTGCTCCCTCCTCCCCCTCCTTTTCCTTTCTAGTTCACATGTTGAGTAAGTATTTAGCAAATCATTTTGCTAAATACTGGCTATATATTATAAGCTTTTGAAGTCTTTAAGAAAATCATAAAATGTACATGTTTATTTTACCCATTAAGTCAAAGCTGATCATCGTTTCTTAAAAAACACAAGCTTTTTTACAGTTTACAGCACGTAAGCATGACAAAGCACCTGCTCCATACTCACATCTCTTTGATGTTTCTGCCTCTTTGCTACCAACCTCACCATCACCTTCAGACTGCTTAAAGAAATCCATTATCTTAGCACACTCTTTTTTTGGTGCACCTTATCTGCACTGCTCGCTGCAGGTTTTCTCTACATCCAGTACATCCTTTTAATGAGTGCTAGATACTAACTGCCCGAGAGCTATATGATCAGTTGAGATCTATACTATTTCAGATTGCACCAACAGTGTTGCTGCAGCTCAGATGACCTACTGTAGGGCCTATAGGCTTAGTTTATAATGCTAGGGAAAAAAAGGCCAGCCCTCACAAAGTCAAAAAAAAAAATTCCTGAACTTCCCGATGGTCAGTCCACACCTGGCAGTCAATGTCAAGTTCTGAAAAAACTGCAGCTACAAAAACTGTGAGTTACTGTCTTTTGTGTGTCACATTAAAGGTGCTCTCTACATTAGCACAATTGTTGCTGAATCTTCCCTTTGTGTGGACGTCTGCAACATAGATCTGGGAAATCATAACTTTGTTTATATAATATCAAAATTCTGAAAACTTCAAGGTGTCATGTGGGGTTTTCTTGTCAGGGCATGTAAAACCTTTGCGATTTTTGAATACTGAATGGGTTCCATGTCTTTGTTGGTGCATTGCTATGTTTCATGGGTGTTACAGCCACCAGCTGTCAATCAGGGGAATAACTAAAAGGCGTTTGCAGAAATGTGCATCACATTGCCCACATGACAAACAAAACAGGGCTATATAGCACCACTAGTGGTGAAAAGTAAGTAACTTTATTTCTATAGCAGCTTTGAAAAGCAAAGGCACACAAACTCCACAGGGTACATTTACTTCGAAAAAGACCTCACATGTAGATCTACTTTCTATCATCAATTTGTCATTTGTTGTATTATTTTGACCTCTTTCAGAGGAGGAACCCATAAATTAGCGTAAATGGTATATTATTAGAGAGAATGTTGCAAGCACATTAAAGCTCATGGACAACTGAATGTTTATATTCTGTTTGGAAAATTGAGACCTAACTTGAGCACAAAAGGAAATCTATTTGCACAAAGATAATAATATTAAGGTACCAAACCAAACAAGGGGGCAATAATTTAATCATAAATTGAAGGAAATCCTGCAAAGGGAGGCTAAGTTCTAAGTTCTATAGCTGTAATTTGCACAAGAATAAGTTCCGTAGATGTATTTTACTTTATCAAATGAGAGACTTCTGTGAGCAGAGCTATTGTTGTAGCCTGCCATGGCCTTTCTTCACGCTTTCTTGATGCAAACAGATGAAGCCATGAGATAAATCCTGCAAGACAGCAAACAAAAACATGACAACTGGACAATGGCATAGTGTTCTCACGATAACACTATCAAACACGAAAGTCTTTATCTGCTCTTAGTCTCTTTATCTGGCCATCTTCCATTTTCTGCAACAAAAGTTTGGCATGTTCCTACACTGCTTGTCTCGGGGCCTCCTGTACTTCAATCTCACGAGCGTGATATGAGTAGGGGAATGAACTCTGAGCATCTAAAGAAAAGGATCACAAGGATGGAAGTATCTCTAGGATCCAAAGATGCTGCAGTGTATCATATGGACTGCAGGATTTATATCCCTCTGCACAGACACGTTAGATCCATCTTCCTTGCAGATGAATACTTTCTAGTATTACTCTGATCTCTGTCAGTGCTTTAAAAGATCTCTGTGGCTCTGTGATCTGGATGTCACTGTTAGCTTTTCTTGGGTGTTCTCCCTTGTCTTAGATATCAACATGCCATATATTCATTGCTTTTCCCCATGTGTTTAATTTTAGTTGGTATTTTGCTGCAATTTGTTTTGTGTGTAATTGCATATTAATTAGATCTAAATCTTGGCTTATAATGTCTTGTCCTTTGAGGGAAATCGTTTGATAAAGGATCATAATTATATCTGGTCTTGAAAAGGAATTTCCTCTTGGCCATGCAACCATTTTTATCAAGCCAGTTGATTAAACTCAAACAGATGTCATACATGGACATGTGTAACCTAGCCTACTTTCTGTTGGAATTTGTGTCTTTATTGGTCTTCAACAGCGCCGCTCAATAAAAAGTCGAGGGTGTCGTTGTTATTATTCTCGCGAGATTACCAAATAGGAAGAGACGAAGGAGAAGGTCAAGAATTAAAAATGGCAGCCCGCAGTATGTTGAGGTCCGTGTGGACCTCATTTGCGGGCTTAAAATTAGGTGCCACGGGTACCAACGTGAAGTTTCAACAGACGATACATGTTCCCCAGCTACAGACGTTAACAATTCAGAGCCGAGGGATCCGCAAAGGTAAGAGTCCTCCGCAAACGTTAAGGTTTTAGCCTATCAATGCTAGACGCTCTAACGTTAGCTACTGTATAGCATGTTAACGTTAACACTGACAGTAATTATTGGCATCTCAGCACAGTTATTTAATCTTTTAAAGACATGCGTATAACATCCACCTCGCCTAACCGTAAATGCAACAACAAATATAAAAAGCATTCAGTAAATAACTTAGCTGTTTGCCAGAAGGCATGCGCCCATTGAATCAGTCTTTCCCTCGTTATCTTTTCACTTAGTGTGTTGTGAACACAAAAACATGTTACTTTGAACAAGGGCGAAGAGAGTCACATAAATTACGCACACATTGAAAGAATGTGTTAAGCAGAGGTAGTTTTATTGTTTTCTTTCTCCTCCACCTGACTTTACATGTGCTGAAATCGGAGGTTATGTATCCAAGTATTACAAAAAATATTTCACTGTAAATAAATGTATTTTTAAAGTGTGTGTCTATCTGTCTATAAAAAGAGCCTCACCTAACCACATTTTGAGTACTGTATGTGAATATATTTGATGTCAATTGTGATTTTGCCAGACCACTGCAAACTGGCATGTGGCACATTTATTATAATTATTCTATATTTTTATATATTGTCAATTTATATAAATAAATCCTCTCCCCCTGTAATATGTCTGCACAACACAAACCCGGAGTCATGCACATGTGAATATCTGCCACATTGTTCTTTCTCTTTCTCTACATACAATTCTATTAGTTCTTTTAACAAGGATCTGTTTATTCCATATTTATATATTTTACATTTATTTATGTCAGCTTTATGTTTGTCTAGCACCTTATCACCAAAGCTAATTCCCAGTATGTGTAAAATACTACTTGGCAATAAAAGCTCTTTCTGATTCAGGTGGAGACTCGAGCTGAATTATATTTACTGGCTGTCAGACAAATTGTAAATAATAATTGTATCACTTGGCACCACATTCACTTAAAATGTCTTCCAAATATTAGGCAGGCCGTAAAGACAAATAGTTATATTTATTATGATTAAGGCCTAACATCATATAATGTGTGTTTTACAGTGGTGGAGAAGCAAATGGAGAACACGACAATGGTACGTAAAACCTGGCTGTGATTTAATACAATTTCACCTGATGAAGATATTGTACATGCATTCTTCTTGTGCAGTATTTTGATAACATCAAAAGCTATTCATTGAGGCATTTGAATGAATTCTAAACTGGTGAGCAGAAATTCACATAAAATATGTATTTCTCTAACTCCTGATTGTTTTGCCTTGAAGTGTATCGCATCAGGCTGTTTTCTAAAGAAACAAACGAAAAGCCGAATAGAGAAAACTCTACTGCTTTGTGTTATAAACACCCTTTATATAATAACAGAAATTAGGTATTTTTGAGTCTGGATGTTTAAATGGAAAAAAAATTATATATAAAATTCATCAGTGATCCATCATAAAAGTAGTTGATAAACACGCAGTTGGTGACAGATTATCACAGTGGCTATATACGTCGCAAAGGATAGGAATAGCAGGTTTAAACTCTAGTAAACATTCATCATGCTGAACACACATAACAAAAACTGTCTGCAGAGTGTATCTTAACTGATTTTATTTATTTATTTATTTATTTTTCATCTACAAAGTATAAGCCTATCAGGTTTGGCAAATGTTTATTCAAGTGTTGTGTAATTTTAAACAGCATTGACATTTTAAAGATACTAAAAGTACATCATTGCAACCCACGAGACCAACGGCGAAAATAGAAGCATATGTTCAAAGGAGAGGCTCTGTCAGATGTGAGGAGATGCAACAAGGGCAACTCCTTTGACCTGCATTGGCATACTTCTATAACCAACAGTTAGATAGGATCGTTGGAGAGAGGGACTCACAATTTAAAAACAATTAAAACACTTTCTTTTACTGCACACATGAATTTTGAGTCAAGTTGAAAACCATAGCTGATTTATTATTATTATTGTTGTTGTTACTACTATATTAACTAGTCATGTTAATTATGTGTCAGATTGAGGGAGAAATACTGGACGTTCCAGCAGGACCCCAGCCTCCAAACCCCACAGCCAAGTGTCCTATCTACAGATGGAACCTGCAGCACAAATACAACTACACGGTAAATGCATCCACATGCATGTAATGACCAAAGGATCTCAGACATCATGGAAAGTGCATCAGCTGTTTAAAATGCCTGCTTTTGTGTTTAAACCCCTCCAGGATGTTTTGTTGCTCAGTCAGTTCATCAGGTCAGATGGGGGGTTGTTGCCCAGGAGGATCACAGGTCTCTGTCCAGAGGAACATCGTAAGATTGCCATCTGTGTGCAGATGGCCCACAGAGCAGGTCAGTGTTAACTGTGACTAATGACTTACACAAATTTCAAGTACAGTTCAGTGTTGGAGAAGCACCAAAAGGCATATACAGACTTAGATATTGACTCTGACGCTGTCAAGATGGTAAGAAGTTGTACCAACTGACCCAGCCAACTGAACTAAACCACATATTTATTGCAGAGTATTGAATCTGTCAGGGCTGCAATTAATGATTATTTTCATGACCCATTAATCAGGTAATTATTTTCTGATTGATATAAAACAGAAATGCAACCAATCCTCACAATTGAGAAGATTGAATCTGCAAATGTTATATTTTTGCTTGTTAAAAGAAATTTGTAATTTATTTTCAGTTGACTAATAGTTTCAACACAGTTTCCCTCTCACTCAAATTGCAATAGGGTAGCACTCAAATACAGACCGTACGGCTGGTAAACATGCAAATGAGTTAGTTCAACTGTGCTAGCTCTTTGCTGTATTTGTTGTTGTTTGTAGAAGTTCAAATAGGATCCAGCAAATTCTTCACTGTTGTACCTTTTTTAGACTGGCTTCAGATAATTGGCTGTGAGTCTCTTGACATGTTTAAAGGTGCAATGTATAAGATATTTTAGTTAAAACATTAAAAATTATCCACAGAAGGTCAAGCAGTAACAGTTCTGACGTCATGTCAAAGACGTTTGTGTATTGTGTTGCAGAGATATCTACTGCACTTGCTAACCATACTAACCAGCTAGCCCCAACCCCTCCTGTCTTGTATTACCACTTGTCAATCAGTCAATTTTATTTGAAGTGTAAAATCACCATGCAACGTGGTCTCAAAACACATTACAATTAATATAATGCATAGGACAAACATACAGCGATCAAATACAAATAAATAGTTAAATAAAACCGTCACTTTAAAACATCATAAAACTTGTGTTTTGGGAGGTGATAGTACGATAGTATAGCTCAGGCCTCCTGCTATTTCAGCTGGGAGATTTACAATGGTACACCTTCTGTTTCTCTCTTTCACTGAACTATTCGCCTTGTGAACGCATCGTAAAACACGTTTCATCCAACTCTACAGAAACAAAACAAAATTCTGGCACTACACGCTGCAGCTGCCCTTCTGATACCTGACCTCCCGCTTGCTCCTCTCCTGTCCCCGTCTTTGTCATCTCTGTCCTCAGGCGCCGGTTCTCGTGCCCATTCCGGACTCAGCCAGCTAGTAGGCTGTAACTCAGCAGACTAGCTAACAGCAGTTTGTAACAGTAATGATGTTTTTAAATTAAGTACATAAATGTGACATTTGTTTTTCTCTTTGTTCAAGGTCTGCTGCCTGACCACAAACCCAAACTTCCTGAGGGCCACGTCCCAAAGAGGCCCAAGCCACAACTTAACAGGTAATGTATACTGTACATGTGTCTCTGCTTCTATGTGTGTTTCTCACTATTATCTATCACTTGTCAGCACCAGTCCCAGTGCAACTGAAGCTAGCCATACTTTTATCGTCCACATCTGCTCTTTATTGTACAGATACCTGACCCGCTGGTCCACTGACTCTGTGAAACCCATCTATAAAACTGGACTGAAGTGGTGTAAGAAGCGCATGTCTGTTGGCCACCCAGCACTCAAGGACAATGTGCGTTACGGCGTCAAACCCCTTTACATAAAACACTGAGGGGCAGAAAGCCTGACGAATTGGTGCAGCAACTGGACGTTAGTGGGTGGGCCCTTTTTCATGCAAGGATGCAGTTCTAAGTGGATTTACTTTTGTCATACTGCCCTGGAAATGGGTCTAAAAGCTTCATCCATCTGTATTTATTCTACATTTTGTTTATTAAGCTGTGTCATGCTTCTTAAAGAATCATGCTCAGCCCCACCCAGGACCATCTTTTCTGTCTCTGTTGGTTTTCAAAAAGCCTTGAAGTGAACTCTCTTGACAACTTAATGTGATCATCAACTGGTTCTGTGTTACACTTTCAAAGTAGGTGGTATGTTGACTGTGTATACTCAAGGCAACACAGATGTGCAAATAAAATGCTCTCAACATGCTTTTGTACCCGAAAAGTAAATGGAACAAATAGCTTGGCGACACACAACTGCACGACTTTACCTCTTTATTTGTTTTAAGATAAGACAAACAAAATGTCCTGAAACAACAGAGGAACATGAGATGTATGATTTATGATTTGTAGCTTAAAATGCATGTACAATGTCTCCTTTTTATAGCATGAAGGGAAGGTCCAAATTCTTGGTCCCATCACCAATGTAGATGTGTCCGTGCTGTGGCGTCAGTGGCACATGGTAGAAGGTCAGGCCAAGCCACAATAGGCTGCGAAGCACGCACACTTTGCTAGCACATTCAAACTGTAGACTCCATGATGCTATGCAAACAAAGAAGACTTGTTGTAAACAGTTGAATGTTAAATGCAGGAGGCATCATGTTCTCTGACTGCACTGTCGAGCTGAATTGAAATGGAGGCTGCAGTAATCTTTGGAAATCAGTCCAAGAAGATTATACTATTCACATGCAAGAGGCAACCAAGGGATATGATATAAATCAACCCTTTGTGCTTTTGATATCTACAGTCTAACCTGTTTCTCAATATGCTTGGGTGTGACTGTGAACCAAAACCCAGGGAATTGAGAACAAGAGCTGGATCTGCTACAGTATAAACATAAACACCATTGATTCTTTTACACAAAAGGGAAACTGTTCTGATAAATTAGACAGTTGTTGCACTTCTTATCCGGTAACGAACGAATGAACTAAAAGTAAAAACAACTTAGAAGATTGGCATTATGCAACATGTTGTGTCGAGGTAATAACTGTACTTCTGCAGGAGGAGGAGGAACCTAAAGCCATAAATCAGGACCTGGAAGCTGTTTGCAGAATTGTTGTGGGAAGGGGTTGGGGGGCAGCTCAGGGTCTCAGGAAGAGCACCTGTCTTTTGGGGGAGATGCGTCATACCACATTTTCCCCAGAGCTCAGTTTAAAACATGTTAACTCTTTCTCCTTTTCGGCAAACACATGTGATCCACTGTTAGGACGGCTGCAGTGAGTGTGGCACACTGAGACAGCTGTGCAATGTCTGCTGCAGCGATGACACTGCCGACATCCGCATCAACTCAAGGAACACAAACATATACACATGTGGAAGTCCTCTTAAATCAGACATCTGCTGCATGTTTGCTCTTGGGCGCCGAACACTTTGTCTTTCTTTCACACACATATACACTTAGATAGCCTCACTATATCTACATTCACTATGGCCTGGAGTAAATCCAGCTAAGCAACCTCAAATCTTGTTAGACGTGACCTAATTTCACATTCTTTTTACAGTATTCAAGTTTGCTTATTGTTTGCCTTCTGGGTTTGAGTTTTGCGAACATTAGTTTATCAGCTCAAGTGTCTGTGCTCCCTGCCAAAATTCATGCTTTTAGTTACATTTTCATGCAATATTTTTGACCAAAAACAAATTAAAGTCAAGCTCCTCTAAAGTAACCAAGTCTCCCCATGTTGACAAATCTACAACATTTGTGTGCTGTTGATAGAGGCGGGCAGTTATTTGTCACAAATGAGCTAAAATACTTTTCTCTCCTACAGATGTGAGCAATCAATTTCTCATTTCATATCAGTTTGGTTTCTGGCAGTGCGCTTCCCATGTACTGGTTTACGTCTTTTTTTAGTCAGTTTCATGGGGAAATGATGACGATAGAATCTATAATTTTCCTATAAATCACTTGACTTTCAGTAGGTGGGTGCTGAATCCAGATATTTCTTATCTGGCAGTAGTTGAAGACCAATTCTTCCAACGTATTCCCAGGAAATCTGTTCCATCTGGTATGCTGATAAAAGTTTTAGTTTATTTTATTAGTTTAACTGACCTTTTTACTGTTGAAATAATTCAGTTGTTTCTAACTGGAAGACACGCCTCTTGACTTCAGTCAGTTGAATCACCATAATGATTGTGCTAAAAGCACATCTCATTTAGTTGTAATGTAGCATGGCGGTTGGAACATTGGAAGCTGATTAGAGTTCAGTGATCCTGAAATGAAGCTGAAGATGTGTTCATATACTTCAATACAAGACGTTATAGTGTGTTCACCTTTAGGAATGTCATCACTCAGCACATCCAGGAAGTCGATAGCTGGGTTGAAATCACCCATTTCCACGATGGATTTCTTCTTCAGATTCTTTGGTTTGCTGAAGTGAAGGAAGTTGTCAAGCTTCCCTGCTTCTGAGTGAGACAGACCTGAGGAACAATGCACATTGGCATGTTATTCAAACTGAAGCAATGATGGTGCAAATATACAGTGAAATTATGTCAAAATATAGACTACATCATTGTATTTAGCATTGTATTTATGTTTCACAAAGCAGGACTAGCAAGTTAACCAAATAATTTTGAGTTGTCTTGTGAAATATTTCCTAAAATGTTGTTCAAATAAATACCCAATTTTAATCATGCTTTATGAGTCCCCTGAGGGCAATTTACATGCAACAGCAAATGGCAACTCTGGCACACGCATCATGAGGCAGAGTGATATATATTTACCACCAAAGCTGCGGTTGATCTGGACAAGGCCATGTGGACGCTTGACGATGGCACCACGCGGTACCACAGACACTTCCTCATCGATCTGATGAACCGTCACTGCCAGCCTGCTCTCCTCATTGACTTTGGTCTGAAACCAAGCACAGTCACTCTTTGAGATTTAAGCTGCAGTTCTCTTTGGCACTAATTCATCATGAATAAAAACCCTTGTTTGGTGCAGAGGTAGCTGAGCAGAGATATTGTGAGCCTAAATATATCTGTTGGCATCTGTTGTCTTTTTATACTGTGTTTAATTTCAGGCCCACATCCATCTGTGCTTTGGCTTGAGTTATAGCTCTACTGCATAATGCTGTGCTAAAATATTTTTCTTCTGATAACAGTAGATGGATGGATTTATATTTATATACCACCATCAGGATATTTCAACACTTTCTCTTTCTCTGATGCAGTAGCCTACTACTGAATACTACAATGACACTTGTTGCATGTGACTTGGAAGTACTAGGTCTTGAGTTTCATCTGGCAGCTCCATATGTTCACTATGATTAATTCTACACAGTATTAATCATGCTTACCACCACCTCCTCCTCTATAGGGCCATCTCTCTTTCCTTGCCTGCGGATCTCAACATTGTCATACACATATGTGGGGTCTCCAATGAAGCGACCCTTTGCAGCTTTGGCCACTTCCTCGATCATAGAGTCCGTGACAGGGGGGAGCAGGAACCAGTCCATGCAGTTGAAGCTGGAGATAAAAGACCAAACGAGCACAAAAAGGTATTTTCACACTGTCACAGGGGCAGACCCAAAAAAGCGACAATCAAACAGTTGATGCTATCTTACCTATAGAGATTCTTCTTATCCTGCATCTCATTTTCTCCCCTCCCCTGGGCGATAAAGTAATCCTCCTTTAATCCCAGTATTTTGCCCCAAAACAGCACTCGGTGGAACTTGTAGTTTTTCTTCAGGATCACCAAGGAAGTCTGCAGAGCGGTTCTTTGCTCAACGTTTAAAGTGTATCCGCTACCGGCAACGAGTTCCAAAGAATAATATAACGAATCTGAGTCCATTGTTTCTGTAATAAACGACTTTACGGCGTAGATATTAGTTACCTTAACGTTATCTGCTGTTTTAAAACTACTTGCTAGCTAACATAGCAGCTAACCAAAGCCTCATGACAACAAAACGTTGTTGCGCTGGTTGTCATAGCAACACTTAATTCCCCCCTCCCCCCCCACAGTTTTTCTTTTTGAGTGTGTCGTGACTTAACTATTTACAAAGAAGTTTTATTTGTCACAGTCAAAACGGGGGGAAACACATTGTAAACGTGTCGTTTTGGGTGTTTGCTTGTGTTTATACCACAATTAGACTCTATGAAAAGGTTTATACAAACCAGACCATGAGTGAGTCTGGGTCTGACGTCACACCCCATCTTTTCAAGTGTGTGCCTTCAAGAAGAAGCAGTAGGTATACAGTCTATGGTCACAATACAAGTTTGCTACTCCGTTCTGCTCCTCAGCAGACAATATACTTTGATATAGAAGCAATTACAAAAATGGTAGAAAAGTGCTCAGAATGAATTTGAGCTTAAAAGATGGCTTGGGGGAAGAAGCTGCTCTGCAGTCTAGCGGTGTGGCAGCAGAAACTTCTATATCTCTTCCCAGAAGGCAGCAGGGTGAACAGGCTGTGGCTGGGGTGCGTACTGTCCTTTAGTATCCTATGGGGTCTGTATAGGCACCTCACCTCACCAATATCACTGATGCCCGGGAGATGGGTACCAGTGATCTTCTGAGCAGTTTTAATCACCTGCTGCAGAGCCCTCTGGTCCTGGGCCTTAGTTATGTTTCCAGTCGGGATGCTTTCTATTGCTCCTCTGTAAAAGCTGACATGAACTTGGCACGGGAATATGGCCTTCTTAATCTTCCTCAAGAAGAATCGTTTCTGAGCTTTCTTCACCAGTGTGGAGATGTGAGATGACCATGTCAGGTTCTCTGTGATGCTGATTCCCAGGAACCTGTGTGTCTTTATCTCCTTTATCATTCCCAGTAATGCAGACATAATAAAACTTACTTTTAAGATTACAATTTTTAATACCTTTCCTATCCAGTGAAAACCATGTATCTCCAGATGTGGTGATTTTTAATTAAAATGTGTTCCTATACTTCTTAATCTAAATAAACTATTAAAACAGACCTTAGGTCAGCTGGAAACAGGGCTGTTTTTTGAGCCTATCTATCTATCTATCTATCTATCTATCTATCTATCTATCTATCTATCTATCTATCTATCTATCTATCTATCTATCTATCTATCTATCTATCTATCTATCTAATAATAGTAATACACTAATAGGGAACATTAACTACACTATGATACTACAATACTTTTACTTTTAGTACTTTTAAGAACATTTTGCTGATAATTCTTTAACATTTACTTGAGTAAGGATTTGAATGCAGGACATTTACTTGTACTGGAGTATTTTCTCAGTGTGATATTATTACTTTAATAAAGGATGTTAATACTTCTTCCACTACTTCTGTATTTATTTTGTTGCTTGGAGAGAAAGTAATGGCAGCGTTCTGTCTCATCCCTTAGACTACTGGTAAGGCACAAAGAAGAAGAAGGTTTATTAACCCCTCTAGGGGAAATTCATTTCCCCCCCTAAACCCTAAACTACTGGTGCTTATAGGTGCACACAATATTCATTTCACTTAGCTAAAACAGTCAGTAAGGTCAAAAATGTGTGCCACTGTTTACATTGCTTATCTACATCAAACACATAATATCAGTAACTTAATCCAATCTCAGGAGAATGGCCCTTTTTACTGCAGAAAACAGCAGGAAAAGCACATGTGTAACTAATAGCATTAACGATGGCTCCATTCCATTTAACTGTCCCAGTAAACCACAACAGTAAGGATACATATACCAATGAATGCATAAATGCAGGGAACACCTAAATGAAATGCAGCCATAATTAATTTCCTACGGTGATAAGGCAAATGTCTGACACAAAAAAGGTCTGTTAAACACATGAAACATAAACACTCAACGTGCAAGACATCACAATATTACCTGCCTCTTAAAATGGATTTTCCAATGATAAGAAAAACCTATGGGAGTTTGCTGTAACATTCATTATAATTTTTTTGTGGAATGATCGTGGTTCTTTCCTCTTTCTTAGAACCAGAAAGTCACATTTTAAGCTCTTGTGAGGTGACTATGGGCTCTGTGTGCACCCTTTGAGCACTCTCTCTTTCACCCATGGAGCCCATAGAGAGAGAAGCTTACAGAGGAAAGGAGGGACCAAAAAGTCTGGCAGTTTTTCTTCTGGCAAAAGTGTCCAAAGTGTCTGGAAGACAGAATCGGTTAAGCCCTTTGCACAGCTGGCAGGATGCATGCTTAGGTCACTCTAACATGCCTGCATGGCACATGGGAATAGGAGTGAACAGAGCTAGGAAATCCTCTTAGGGTGCAATTCCTGTGTACGTACAATCATTGTCTGTTTTTGTTGGTGTTGGTTGGTAACAAATAAATACCCTTGTATTAAAGATGAGATGTTGCAGAGGTAAGTTTAGTAAGTCCTCCCATGGCAGTTATTCAAGGTAACATACTATACATGAACTCACAGCATTAGAGAGGCTGTCTTCTTTTCGGCTTACTGCTGTTTCATGAATAAGATTTAAACACAGTGAGTGTGCGTGTCTGTTTTAGGGTTGAGGCTATAGAGGTGATCTGGCCACAGCTGAAATAGCAATATAAATAAACATAATCTAGCATGGTAGAGGAGGAAGAAGGGCATAGGTGTCAGTGAGTGCTGGGTTTGCTTTTCAGAGGTGATCAGAGACAAAGAAGTTTTCTTTTGAATACAATTTCAAATTGCCTCTGTCTCTACTGCTTGTGATGTGACTTGGTTTAAAGTTGTGGATTTTAAGCCTTAATATCTTGGGAAGTGGTCAAGTGTTAGTGAAAAGTATGGCCAAACTTGGTAAATTGTGTGTGATGTCTCTGTTTGCTTTCTCTCAATTAACCACTGGGGTGATGTTCTCAATGGTCAAACATTCATTCATAAATTCCCAGTATTTCATATTCTCTTTCATATGCTGTCAAGAGCTGTTTTCATTCACAAATTTCATTCTTCGGATCCAACCAAAGAGTTTTCATCTTCCACGTGCTCCAGCATCTTGATTCCAAAGGTGAATCTCTAAAAATCTGCAAAAATCTTTCTCAGTTGTTTTTTAAATGAATATTGTTATTTGTTACCAGTTGCTCGGTTATAAACTTCCTGAAATCGATGTATGAAGTGGGCTATACTGTATACACAGGCAGGATGAGAAGAGCTCATATCACTGGTTCTTCTGAGCAGCGTATTGAGCAAATCCTGTTTAAAAGACACTAAATGAACACTGGTTGTTTGGTTTATCCTGGCTCAGATCCAGCAGTCTTAGCGAGTATAAGCAGTGTGAAGTTGGCTTAAGTTACACTTAAACATGATTGGATACTGTCCAACATATGATTTTGGACAGTCTGCCAGTGTTAGGCCAACCCTGTGTTTGGTAATCCTATTTTGGTCCCTCGCCTTATCTGACAGTCTTGGCTTCCACTGTATTAATATGTACCATATGACCCAAATGCTTCCGAAATCCAAATACGTTGGGGTGGGAACTTTATGCACAACATCAAAACAAACAACACAACAACAAAAAAACAGGCTGTGTGTCTTGTTTTCATTCTTAACCTAACGTCTCCACCACTTCAATTTATAACCCCTGTTGATGTTATTTATGGGTGGCATTTTTTTCTGCAATTGTATTTGTATTAACCCTTCTATAAAGTGGTTTTCATTGTTAGTGGCGGGGTATGCCGTTCAGAATGCCTTCACTCGCACAGGTGACTCAAATTGTTTCCATCCAGCGTTATTGTTTGTGATTTTATCTCATTGATGTTAGCCTCACTATTGGCTTACCTAACGCTGTATCAGAGTTGTATTAGGTTATTGCAAATCCAACATTTCCTGCTGTTCAGTTTAACCAATTTAACGTGAAAAGTAGGAAATGTGGTTTACTTGTAATTTCTTGTGAATCTGGGGTGTGTGAAGGCAATTTTACTGAAAAATACAATTTAAAGAAGTAATCACAGAATTTTAACACACTGAATGGCTATTGCCAACTTTATGATCAAAAATGGTGTTTTATTTAATGACAATCTTAAGGGTTGTAACTTTAAGAACCCACTGCAGTTTCTTGTAAGAACAGCAAGCTGGGAAAAAAAACACTAGCACAAAAAAAAACCACAGTGCATTTCCAGGGCTCCGTGTGTTGGCTGTAATTGTCCAAACAAAAGGGCCTCGGTCTGGAGTCACATGCTTCATCTGCAGCGTTGATTTCAGCTGTCTGGCCCTCCGCCCTTCCGGCTAATGTAGTCCACCAACAGAAAAGGAGGGGAGAGTGGGGTGACTTTTCTACATAGTACACCACATAGAAGAGAGCACACAGGGACAGCCCCTCACCATCCCACCCACTCACCCACTTGCACAGACAAACACACTTTGAGCTTGTGGCTCAGGATGGCACCTCATTAGAGTTGGCAGTCTTGGTGGAAGTTTTGGAGTTGTGAGTGACACACATACACACCACTCCACTTCTGTTTCCCAATTGGCTGGGAAGGAAGTAACACTTGGAATGAAGCGGTCTGTTTCTGTCCTGGTCCCGCTGCTCTGGGAAACTCACCTCCCAGGCGACCAGCGTTGCCATAGCACTAATCCTGACGGACAAAAGATGGGAGTGCCAGAGAGCACGATGCTGCCAGATGCTCTCATTGGTTGGCACTCTCCCACGCAATGCTGTGGTTGGCTAGTGCCGTGTTTATATACAAATTGGAGCAGTCAGAGGTCACATCCATCGATCTTGGTGGTGACATGAAGGAAATCTGACCCCATAACCTCAGAACTCTAAATGGGTTTAATTCCTATTTGATTCACACACATACATGCACACACCCACACAAACACAGCGGCTCTTTCTTACGTTCATTTGCCTGGGAGTGCACAATTAAGTGAATACTGAGAGTGAGTATAGTGAACTAAATAATAGTGCCTGTAGTGTACAAAAGCACAGATGACAACAATACCAAGAATGCATTGAGGGCTCTGAGTTTAGTAGCTTGCTCATCTACACACAAACACACTCGAGAGGTTT